CCTAACATTATCGAAGCTGAAGTATTAACAGGATCTGCAGAGGGAGAGATTGTTCTGATTCCAAGAATTGATTTGTCCTCGTCTGACACTGGCCTCCCATTTAAATGAATTCGACGATGGTTTCCCGTGATGCCAGCATTTGCGATGATTATTAATAAATCACAAGGACAAACTCTAGACAGGGTAGGAATATTCCTACCTGAACTCGTTTTCTCACATGTTCAGTTATATGTTGCTTTCTCTCGAGTTTGAAGAGCATGTGACATTACAGTTAAAGTTCTAAATACTTCATCACAAGGGAAATTAGTCAAGCACTCTGAAAGTGTTTTCACTCTTAATGTGGTGTACAGGGAGACATCAGAATAAGTTTAATCACTTTATCAGTTATTGTTTGCATCACTGTTGTTTTTATATCATGTTTTTGTTGTTTTCATATCATGTTCTTGTCTTTTTTTATTATTTTGTTTTTGTCATTTTTATATCATGCCTCTGTTGTTGTTATATCCTTTTGTTACTGTTTATTTATTAATAAATTTATATATTATTTTCATATACATTTTACTAATTTCCTTTCATCTCTCACACTTCTATTATAGAGAAAGGGCAAATAGCAATATTAAAATATTTCCGCTAATTAATTCTCTTTTAATGTGCATGAATTTCATGCACCGGGCTACTAGTTTGTTCATAAACAGACTTGAGTAAAAATGTTCAAAGAAGTTCTCTTCATAATAAGAGCTAGAAACAACCTAGAAACAACCCAAATGTCCATCCCAGTAGCATGATTAAATAAATTCATACAATAGAAAGTTACTCACCAATAAAAAGGAGCAAACGACTCATATACATAATAACATGATTGAACTTCATAGGTTCAAACTTGTGCTGAATGAAAGAAAGCAGACACAAAAAGGTGCATGCCATTGTTTCAATTATACTAAGAACTAAAACAGAAAAAACAAATTTATGGTGGAATAAAATGGGAAAGTGGTTGTGTCTGGGGGTGTCAAATTGCTCAGGCAATGGAAATGATGGCAATCCTATATAATAAAACCCTAACATGCAAATCGACAGAACAGTGAATGACCGTTCGCTATGATGTGCACTGACCAACCACCAGGGGGCAGACGCTCAACTCAAGAGCTGCCCCCTGCCCTAGCTGGCTTGGCTCAGTGGATAGAGCGTCAGCCTGCGGACTGAAGGGTCCCAGGTTCGATTCCGGCCAAGGGCACATGCCTGGGTTGCGGGCTCGATCCCCAGTAGGGGGTGTGCAGGAGGCAGCTGATCAAGGATTCTCTCTCATCATTGATGTTTCTATCTCTCTCTCCCTCTCCCTTCCTCTCTGAAATCAATAAATATATTTAAAAAAGAGCTGCCCCCTGGTGGTCAGTGTGCTCCCACAGAGGGAGCGCCGCTCAGCCAGAAGCTGGGCTCATTGCTGGTGAGCTCAGTGGTGGTGGTGGGAGCCTCTCCCACCTCTGCTGCAGGTGGCCTGTAAGGAGTGAATGGTCCCGGACTGTGAGAGCCCCAGACTGTGAGAGGGATGTCTGACTGCCAGCTTAGGCCTGATCCCCAGCAGGCAGACATCCCCTGAGGGGTCCCGGACTGCAAGAGGGTGCAGGCCAGGCTGAGGGAACTCCCCCCTGCTTAGTGCACAAATTTCCTGCACTGGGCCTCTAGTGTTTTATATTTTGACTAGAGGCCCAGTGCACAAAATTCATGCACGGCGGTGGGGGGGGGTCCCCTCAGCCCAGCCTGCACCCTCTCCAATCTGGGACCCCTTGGGGAATATCCGATTGCCAGTATCCTGGACTGCTGGCTCCTTATCACTCACCTGCCTGCCTGCCTGGTTGCCTCTAACTGCCCCCCATGACAGCCTGGTTGCCCCTAACTGCTCCCTGCTGCCAACCAGGTCACCCCCAACAGCCCCCTCCCTCCCGGCCTGGTCGCCCCCAACTGCACACACCCCTGCTGGCCTGGTTGCCCCTCACTAACCCCCCTACTGGGCTAGTCATAGGCAGCCATCTTGTGAGGGCGTGAGGGTTAATTTGCATATTACCTCTTTATTATATAGGATAGGAGTATAAGTTACATAAGTATGGGCATTGATCTAACCTTATCAAATTGTGCTAAGATTTGTGTATCTCACTGTCCTCCCCCCCAAAAATAAAAACTTTTGTAAATAAATATTGACCTATACTTGGTAGATTAAGCTTGAGCAAGTGAGAAAATACATTGAGGGTGATGGGAGCTAGTTTTCTCACAGTTGGGCAAAGGAAGCTACAGAAATGGAGAGGGAAAACATACCATCTGATGCTGGGTTTAGAATTGGAGGTATCAGTATGAACTCATGGTTTTCTACAAATTTCCTGGCTTTGTATCCCGAGAGAGCCTAGAGGAGCAGTGATATATTAGTTACAATGAGCATACAGAACACCCATATCTTGTGTTCTAAACACCACTCTCCAACTAGGGGAGCCAGGCTTTCTTGGAGAACAGACTTCTGCAGAGAAAGTATAAGATGAACCTGACATATTTTCTTGTGCCAGAAGTAAGAAAGTGCTCAAAGAACACTGAACAGAACCCAGAAGCCAGCTCGAAGGGGCTCACACTGACCAAGTCTGAGACAATCTTTGAGCATCAAAAATAAATAATGATGGTCGTGGGTTATAACCCAGGGAATTAAATAAGAATTCATGAGTCTATTCTGATATAAATAAATGGGACCGAGGGGGAGAACTTCCTTACAGAATTACAGCTACTAATCGGAAGGAATAGTGGAGTTGGAAAATCATCGTGGATACTAACACTTGAGGGTTAAAGTGTAATGAGGAAAAGCCTCAAAATATCTACCCACAATTTACTTTTTAGTTATAAAAGGGAGATCAGTAACTTCACAGTGGGTAGATCTGTCAACCTTTACCTTAACCAAGTGATCAAAATCAACATTGTTAATATTGAGATAAACCTGTTACCAGACAAAATCTGGGCCCAGAGCAGATCTACCTAGGGCCAGTCGGTCTGTAGTGTGTGGGTTCCTGTCTTTTTGCAGGAAAGATTTCACATCTTGAGTCCAGGTGATTTTGAGAATATATTCATTGCTTATTTATTTACGTATTTTCGTTAATCATCACCCTAGGATATTTTTTTATACATTGCTTTTCAGAGAGAGTGGAAGGGAGGAAAAGAAAAAGAAAAAGAGAGAGAGAGAGAGAGAGAGAGAGAGAAACATCGATGTGAGAGAGACTGGTTGCCTCCCTTTTTAAAAAATCCTTTTTTTTTCTTTTTGGTTGCCTCCTTTATGCACCTGGACCGAGGTCAGGAAGCAAACAGCAACCCAGGTACATGCTCTTGACTGGGAATTGAACCTGAGACCCTTTGGTATGCAGGCCAATGTTCTAACCACTAAGAAACACTGGCTAGGGCAAGAATACATTTATTAAAGCTGGGGACAGTGAAGCAACGGGAGGGGTTAAGGTAGAAGAAGCAACAGGAGAGAGAAAGTCAGAGAGACACGGGGCCTTGGAGACAGGTTCAGGGGGTAAGTCCAGTACAAGCTGCTGCTATCCACTGCTCCCCTGGTTGCAAGTTTCATGGCTCCTTAGAGTTTAGGAGAAAAAGAACAGAGATACAAGGCCTAGGTCCTTTGTCTTAAGGCTTTTTATTGTTCTTTGGTGAGGGGGAATCCTAAGGGAGGTCTCAGGGGAAGGTCTTAACAGAATCGCTCATTAGCTTTCCAGACGTGTCTTTAAATATGTTGATTCATCAAAATATGCATGTTGAGGGGTCAGGGTTATGTTATCTGGTTAGTTTTATTTTCAAAGACCATCATCAAAGACAGACCCAGACTGAGGCAGTCTGCCCAGGGCCGGTCTGGAATGTGTAAACCATTTGCTCGTAAGTCAGGGAAGATAAAACCTTATGATTTATTAGGTAGCTGTAAAGTGTTCAAATTTTTTGGCCTTGTTTCGTTATTTTGTCTCAGTTTCCCTTATTCCACTTGTCAAGGAATTTCCCTAGCTTCTTACTATCCTGTCACAAACCAACATCATGTACCTCCCGAAATGATGTCATATTCCTGTCAAAATGCATAATCCGAATTTAAGGATGAGAGAACATCAGCCAAACAAAAATTGAATGACGTTCTGAAAAAATAAAAAAGCTGTACTTTTCAAAAATGTCAAGGTCGAGAAAGACAAAATAAAGCTGAGGAACTCACTTATAAGTAACCTTATTTACTTGTTTGTTTGTTTACTTATTAATCCTCACCCGAGGATATTTTTCCATTGATTTTTAAAGAGAGTGGAAGGGAGGAGGAGGGACAGAGAGAGAGAAACATTAATGCATTGATTGCCTCCTGCAGGCACCCTGACCAGGGCCATGGATCAAGCCTGCAATCAAGGTACATGCCCTTAACTGGAATCGAACCCGGGACCCTTCAGTCATCGGGCAGACACTCTATCCACTGGGCCAAACCGGCTAAGGCAGTAACCTTATTTATAAGGTTCCAGATTAGAGGAGACTAAAAATTCATGACAACTAAGTGCAAATGTGATTCTGAACAGGATAGTAGTTTGAGAACAGATGTAGGTAAAATGGATGCTATCTGGACACTCGCTAAATATTAAATGTGGACTGTATTACTTTCCCATGGCTGCTGTAACAAATTACCATGTACTTGCTGCAATAAAATAACATATGTTTATTCTCTGACAGCTCTGGGCAGAGGTTCGAAGTCAGCTTCACTGCGCTGAAACCAAAGCGTTGGCAGAGTTGTACTCTGCCTGGCGTGGTAAAGCGCACAGTCTCCCAGTTGCTGTTGAATAAATGATAACTATGTATGTGAAATGGGGCAAAATAAAAGGTAGACAGGAGCTCCTCGTGTTATTTTTGCAATTCATCGGTAAGTGTGATTATGTTAAAATTCAAAGGCACCAGAAGAGTAGCTATTAGGGATAATAGAGGCGCGGATATAAGACTAAAGTTTGGGCCCTGGCCAGTGTGGCCCAGTTGGTTGAGTGTCATCCCACGTGCTGAGAGGTCGTCGGTTGGATTCCCAGTCATGGCACATGCCCAGGTTCAGCTCAATTCCCAGTAAGGGGTGTGCAGGAGGCAGCCAATAGATGTCTCTCTCTCTCTCATCAATAAAAACTTAAAAAAAAAAAAAAAGACTACAGTTTCATGCCACTCCTAGGGTCAATGGGATAGATTCCTCACCAGCGGCGGGAAATTAGGTCAGGAAAGACTGTTTTTGCATTTGGGTGATGCTTATTTCCCAAGCCATTATGCAGCGATTGCCCTCTTTGATCCTTACAATAAGTTTGTGGGGTTGGAAGGGCAGATATTTTTATTCCCAGTGAACAGTTAAAAAAACCAAGTCACTTAAGTAACTCGGCTAAGATCCCACACCAGGTTAGTGGCAGAGTTAGACATTTCAGAAACAGCTTTCTCCTCATTCTCCTGCAAGAGTGGCTGAGGTAAAACTGCCCTGCACTCAAGTCCTGGCTACAGCTCACCGGCTGTCTCACTCCAGGCAGGTCCGTTACGCGGTGGTGGCAAATCACCCTGAAGTGTCGCATGCAGCACACAAGGTTTACGGTTTGTTCCCCTCACAGTGCAATGTAAGCAGTGAGCTCCCTCACAGGGCTCTCCTCGGAGCAGTGACTCCGGGATCCAGGCTGTCCTAGGGAGGGAACAGGGCAGGGCGGGTCCTTGGCTTCCAGCTGTGCAGCTAAGAAAAAGGAAGTGAGCCCTGGCCAGAGTAGCACAGTTGGTCAGAGCATTGTCCAGATACAACAAGGTTGTGGGTTCGATCCCTGGTCAGGGCACACACAAGAATCAATCAATGAATGCATAAATAAATGGAACATCAAATCGATGTTTCTCTCTCTCCCCTTTCCGCTCTCTATAAAATCAATAAATAAAATATTAAGGAAAAGGAAGTGAGGTTTAGGTGGAATGTTTTAAGCCTGGAAATGGGGTATGTCACATCTACATTCTGACCAGAATTCAATCGCACGGTCCCATTTAAATGCGTGGAGATCTGGGAAATGTGGTCTTTTTGTGAAGTAGGAAGGAAAATAAAACAGTCCCGTGAACACACAGCTTTGGCTCTGTCACACTGTTGTAGGAAGCGGGAATGGCACCAGGTGTCTGACGGGTGGGGTCAGACCAAACCTAAGCAACCTCACTGCTTGGGTTCTCGCTAGGAAAGAATTCAGAGCATGACCCACACTGTAAGAGAACATTTATTGCAGTGGTTCTCAACCTTCTGGCCCTTTAAATACAGTTCCTCATGTAGTGACCCAACCATAAAATTATTTTTGTTGCTACTTCATAACTGTAATGTTGCTACTGTTATGAATCGTAATGTAAATATCTGATATGCAGGATGGTCTTAGGCGACCCCTGTGAAAGGGCCGTTTGACTGCCAAAGGGGTCGTGACCCACAGGCTGAGAACCGCTGATTTATTGGGTAAATTACAGAGGTAGAAAAAGTAATTCCTAGGAGAAATGGGCTTAGCAAACAGGTTATAGAGGTCAAGGAAGCCCTTGGAGCTTGGGCGTGAGGAAGCTCCTGGAGGGGGGCGCAGAGGGGAAGGGAAAGTCATGGGCGGGTGGCCTCCCTGGAGGGAGAGGCACTGGGTCCTCCATCCTAAGGGTTCTACGGGTGGAGATTTTAGGGGAGGTCCCAGGGAAAGATCTTACTAGTAATAGACTATTCAGTAGTTTTCCAGGTGTGTCTGTTCAGGATTGTGGTCCCCACTGATTAATTGGCCAGCACCAGGGCGGGGGACATTATTCATTGCAGCTGGTCCTGACGTCAGCCTTGGCCAGTTTTAGTGCTTATATGGGCCTGGAGCTGAAATACAACTGAGTCATTCATAGATGTTATCTCTAGGGAGGAAAGGTCAGGGGGTCCAAACGAGTGACCAGTGATTTCCTAGGGGAGGAGAAATACCCTGGGGGCAAGGTCCCACCCTTTTCATTGTCCTTTGCTAGTCACCTGGGGCTTTCCACCCTGGTGACCCTCTGCACCTGGCCCATCGTCCTTGCTCTGCTCATGTCTAACTGCCTACAGCAATGCTAGCTATGTAAACTTGAGCAATTTATTTAAATTCCTTCTAAGTTTTCTCATTTACCAAACAGAGACAATAATACCACACAGGGTTGTTGCACTAAATAAAGTACATAAATATACATAACATGCATAGCCCAGGGCCTGGCACATAGCCAACCATAGTGCCTATTGTTGGTATTCTATAACTCTCACGTCTCTTCTCGTCCTAGTTACATCAATTCCCAGGCTAGTGGTGGAGCTATTCCTGTCAAACCTTTCCTTGTGCTGACCATTTGTCCCTTGGTCTCTGCCCACCACATAACATAGGTTTGTTTGTTTGCTTGCTTGTTTGTTTTTACGTAGATTAGTTTAATCAAAAAGAAAGAGCAAGGCCTTAGAGCAGGCCCACATGGCAGGATGTAATACAAAGAGCAATGAGTCATTTTGCAAAATACACCTCAATGCTGAGGTCCGGGGTCAGTGCAGGCACCCCTGAATCTCCAGGGGCTGCCCCTCTCTTTATTCTAAACAACAGGTGTTGGCAAACTTCCACCAAAGCTGGCTGAGTTATCTATTCTCTGCTCTGGAATTTAGAGGGAAAGGAAGGAGTGGTATCCAGGAGGTCAGGTCCACAGCTGTTGGGAGTTCACACATTCTCCACACTCAATGCCACAGAAGTTTCAGAGGGGTCCGTCCAAAGAGGTCCAACTAGGGACACTTCGGGCCTCCTGGTGACCTGAAAAACAGAACACGGGCATCCAAAGTCTCATGTCTGACCATTTCTTTTCTGCCAGATAGAAACACCCCTCTTCGTCTGGAAATGGGCAACTGGGGCCAGAATCTGGGACCTGCAGCTGGGGGTGGGGGTGGGGGGGTGTTTCCTGTGCACAACTGAACCAGGATTTGGCCCACCCTCAGAGAGGGTGATTTAACCTTCCAGTTAGTGACCAGAGTTGAGAAGTTTAGCAAATTTGGTGAACGATGTAATTTATGATGATGGAGCCTCATTAATGCTCTTTTAGACCAGCAGGTGTCCGAGCTCTCCTGTTTTCATAAACTAACAGATTTGAACACAATAAAGCAAAAACTCAAGACAAATGTGATTCTCCCCGAAACAAAAAGCGACCTTTTACTGAAGTCTTAAGTCAAACATGCAACTTTTGGTCATTCTTGTGAGAAGCCCTCCCAGCGTCTCTGGTGGTGAATTGTAAGCATCAGACTTCTTTGTGGTGTAAATCAACAGGAGTGGGGGCAGCACTCCCCTCTCTTCCACACAGACAGCCCTCCCCCGGGATGAGCGCTAGGCCTTGCCTAACTGTGCTGTGGTTGCTGTGTTTGCTGACTAACTTCTGGCCTCCTGCACTCTGGACCTTACCTGTCTCAACCCGCGGTCCTTTTCCATTTCCCCGTGACGTTAGTGAACTCTGCGGACTTGGCTCCTTTCTGCTGGTATCTGCCCGATCCTGGGGCGCCCTGTTTTCCTTATCAAAGGCGCTCCTGAATTTTTGTAATGGGGGTTCGTAGGAGGGGCAAGCCCTTTGGAAGGTAGTTAGGCAACTGTCCCTTCTTGCAGAATTTCAGAGCCATCCTTACACTGTGTATCACATAAATAATACCCCTAGGGCTGTGGTCGGTATACTGCGGCTCGTGAGCCACATGCGGCTCTTTGGCCGCTTGAGTGTGGCTCTTCCACAAAATACCACGTGCGGGCGCACACATACAGTACGATTGAAACTTCGTGGCCCGTGCGCAGAAGTCGGTATTTTGTGGAAGAGCCACACTCAAGGGGCCAAAGAGCCACGTGTGGCTCTCGAGCCGCAGTTTGCCAACCACTGCCCTAGGGCAGTGGTTCTCAACCTTCTGGCCCTTTAAATACAGTTCCTCATGTTGTGACCCAACCATAAAATTACTTTCGTTGCTACTTCATCACTGTAATGTTGCTACTGTTATGAATCATAATGTAAATATCTGATATGGAGGATGGTCTTAGGCGACCCCTGTGAAAGGGTCGTTCGACCGCCAAAGGGGTCACGACCCACAGGTTGAGAACCGCTGCCCTAGGGGTTGTGAAAGTTGGGGACTCTGAATTTCAGGAAATTGTTATAAAGCTGCATTTCCTTACCACTGTTTCTACTTAAATTGAGTATTTATACGGAGTGGCTTGCTGTTAGGGAGGCTCAGACTCTCCCCAGGCCACCTCTCAGTGCCTCCACTACATCCCTGATCAGACGTGAAAATAAACGTGTGGAGAGCATCTGGAGTCAAAGGTTGTGGCAGTCTGTAGCTACCACCAGCACATCCAGAAGGTCAGGAAGTGGCACAACTGAAGTGAGGCTCAAATGAGAGCTAGAAGAGGAAAGAAAAAGAGAAAGAATTTTCCAGGAGCAAATATGCATGGGAGGGCTCTAAAGCTCCTGCCGCTGGTTCCAGAAAGGCTCGCGACACCAGTTAGTTAATCCTACCAGACCTGAGGCCCTGAACCTAACTGTCCCCTATACCTGGGCTCCTGAGCATTAAAGAGAAAAAACCAACATGATATAAAAAAATGTTAGTTACATGCAAACAAGTGGTTAGAATAAGATGGAACTTGGAGACATTGTAGAAAATAGGTCTACCTTTCATCTACCTTTCATCTGACGCCAATATTCCACCTTTGTGTGGAAATTACCTAAAAATCGGTACAGTGGTCTAAGGCTTTTGTGGAAGAGGAAGGCGGGGGTGGGGTGTCCGGAGTGCGGTGACTCAAGTTCACGTTCTGAGGCCTCCGAGTTCCAGTTGCGTAACCCTGTGAACGTGTTTAGCTTTCCCAGTGGGTGTTTAGGTCCCTAAAATGGGGTCAGTGACCCAGGCCACATCACAGGTTGTGTCAGGCTCCAGGGAGATAACGGTGTGTTACGAATTGTAAGTTTCGGTGTACCTAAACGCTTTTGAACTTCTTGGAATTTCTTCTACACATTTTAGGGAACCTGCCAATCATTTCAAATGCAACTTGCATTTGTAAATTCCCCTTCTTCCTCCCACATATAGGTCTGTCCAGCGCGTCTGTAACGTCCCCTTTCGCAATGCAAATGCCCCCGGGGGGAAAAGGCAGTTTCCAGGTAACACCTTCCAAGTCAGTAAATGCCTCAGCTCAGAGCAGGCATGGCAGGGGGGATGGGCCGGGAGGGAAGGACGGAGGGCCAGGAGGACCACTTAAGGGCTGGAGCTCCGTAGAGGCTCCTGAGACCGGACAGCAGCGGACACTGTTTGCTGAGGGGAGAACTGGGCGGAGCAAAACCACCTTTCAGCACTTTTTTCCAGGTACCAAATCCTATGCAAAGGGTTGGAATCATTTGTTTTTTCTCTGTGACGTACACATCTGTAAATGTGCATGGATAAACTATATTTAATCCAGTCCCTTAACGGACAGACCACAAATGACCAGATATCAGCTCCCAGTTCACCAGTGAGAAATAAAGTATGAAGAGACTAAAAAAATATTGAACATTCGCAGGAGAAAAGCTCAGAATTTTCCTTTTCTACTGGGGCGGAAGCCTGGACTTTTTTTTTTTTTTTTTCATGGGCAATTTTTCGAGCCCTTACTTTTCAGTCTTAATATTCACCCTCCAAACATGGATGAATAGCTTTCTTCTTGCTGCTCTGACACTTTTTTAAAAAATATATATATATTTCTTTATTGATTTCAGAGAGGAAGGGAGAAGGAGAGAGATAGAAACATCAATGATGAGAAAGAATCATTGATCGGCTGCCTCCTGCACACCCCCTACTGGGGATTGAGCCCTCAACCCAGGCATGTGCCCTTGGCTGG